GATTATTCATGTGCTTAAGATATTTTGAATAGAGAGGTGCACTACTTATACTGTATTTGCTCATTCTAAAATTAGTGTTGCAAATTCTTTAAATTTAAGAAATTCTTACCCAATAAAATTTAAACAGCAGCACAACAATAGTATCTGAGAAACCTAAGCAAGTGGTTGTATTTTGTATGTTTTTAGAATTTTACTAGACTTATAATGCTAGCCTTATAATTTATGGATGGCTGTTAGTGATTTATATCTCTACCATGGGTTAACAGGATTAAAACACCTAAAAAAATAGAGCCAGATTAAAAACAAACTTTAAGATACATGAGTTGAACACAATAATAATAAAATATTCCTATGCCAAGCAGCCATAAAATCCCAGAAAGTTGTATGCATATATCCCCCTAAAAGTTCAGTTGACTTTGATTGCTTCCTAAAACTCAAGAATGTGGGAACAAATTGATTTTTTTGGTTTCCCTGTGTGTAATGCTTTTCATGAAGAGTTCTGCATGAGACTATGGATAAATGTTTGTTTGCTTTTTGAAACAGAGTTTAAATAAACTATTAGATTTAGTAAATGAGATTAGCAAATACTGAAACGTGGCAAAGATGACAACTGAAGATCTGATGTACTCTTATATAAAGTACATATAGTTCTTAGAATACATCCTCAGAATTATATTTATTTGACTGGGTTTTTTTTCAATATTTCAATATGGACAGCCTGACTTAATGTTCAATGGAGCTAGCTGCTAAATTGAAGGCTGATTCCACCTCCACCTCCTTGCTCTCTGCTCTCCATCCATCCATCTTTTTGGTTATCATATTGATATATTATTCTTATTGTGTTCCTTTGTTATTGTTTATGTTATTGTTCTATTATTTTATTTCTGTTGCATTCCTTTCCTTTCCTTTCCTTCCTTTTTATTATTAAGCCTCATAGAATAGCCCATGGTGAGATAAGTGGCAAATAAATTTAACAAATAAAATAAAAATAATAAACTAACATTAAGCTCTGCTGGGTCTCAACTGAAATGTTATTTATGTATGAGTTTACTAACTGTACTTTCCATTTCATGATTGTGGATATGGATACTAAACTACTTATTTCTCTTAGATGTCTCTTAGAGGTTCAGCTCCACTAACAGTGGTACATCTGTCTGGAGATCAGGTCCAGGGAGTCATTCATACAGCTCAGACCTCCACTGTGATTCACTCCCCACAAGGACAATCAATACAGGTATATTGTTCATATCCATATGTAATTTATTTTCAGTTTTTACTAAAAGTTTGTATTTATATATTTTAGCCTATCATTAAAAAAAAATTCCCCCTCAAGTCAAGCTTGCGTTCTGGTGAGTTTATGGACAAGTTCATGAAATTTTCTTGCAGCAGTACAGAAATAAAACTTAAATAGCAGAAGTCTATACAAGTAATTGATGGTTAACTGTATTATTTATAAAAGTGAACATGTATTTATTGGTTGGTTGGTTTATAACAATATAAACTCAAATACTTTGGAGCACTTATTAAAAAAGACCCTGATGTTGGGAAAGATTGAAGACAAAAGAAGAAGGGGACAGCAGATAATGAGACCACTAGATAATGTCATTGATGCAATGAACATGAATTCCAGGAGACAATGAAGGACAGGGGAGTGCTGACATTTTGTGGTCCATGGTATCACAAAGAATTGGACATGAGTTAGTGACTGATCAACAGCAACACCTAATAAATTATCAAAGATGTGTAATGATGGATCAAACATTAGTTGGAAATGTAATCATTCTGAAGGTATATTTTATCACCTTTGGTGGACATCTAAGAAAGTTAAGAGTTATTGGAATCAAATATATACTTTAATACAGAGAATTCTTTTAAAAAATGTACAATTGAAACCGAAGATTTTTCTTTTGTTTGATGGATAAGCATTGGGAGAAAAAAACATCAGACTTTGTTTTTATATATGATAATTGCAGTGAGACTTGCACAGAGATGGAAAGACTTACAAATTCCCACAATGGAAGAATGGATAGTGAAGTTAATGGAACTGGTGGTGAAATTAACTACCTTGATTAAAGAAAAGCCTTTGTCTAGCTTTGTTTCTATGTGAAACAACTTTTGGACTTTTTGCTGGAAACCAAAAAAAATGCTATATTAATTTTGGGATTTGATTGTATGAATTATTTATCATTATATAATGTGTATTATTGAATTTTATATCAAAAGGTTAATATATTTTATATTTTAATTGTATTGAATTTTTTCTTTTCTTGCACATTCCCCTTTCCAATTTTTTGTGTTCTTAATTTCATATATATATGAAATACATACGTACATACACACACACACACACTATTTTGTAGAAATTTTATAAAATATATTTAAAAGAAACTGGTTTACAAGTGGAATTAAAAATTACAGCTTACAAAAAGGCGATGGAAGAAATGGATTTACAAATGAAGGATGATAATTCAAAAATTGGGAAAAAATACTAATAACATACCAGATGAGTGATCTGGACTATTTCTTATATTGAATTTACAAGAGGGGTTTGCTAAAGTACAAAGGGGGCTTGATAAAGATGAAGAAAAGAATTTTGGGAGAAGAGGAGAGTATGAGAAGACAGGTGCTAGAACTTTCTTTGAAGAATTTAAAGACTTTGCAGAAAGAAGAAAAAATACATACCGTATATACTCGAGTATAAGTCGACCCGACTATAAGCCGAGGGACCTATTTTGCCACAAAGAATTGGGAAAAAATGGTGACTCGCGTATAAGCCGAGGGGGCATTTTTCAGCACACACATTTTTCCACCTGGGCTAATCGGCCTCTTTGCAACCCCACCCCTCTGGTAACCGCGCGATTGTAGCACTTTGCACAAAGGAGCAATAGTTG